ACCAGAAGCTGGGCTGCCATGAGTTGCCAGCGATGGCGTAGGCTGCAGCCCCTGTGGCAGTGGGCTGCCATGAGCTACCGTGAGTGGCTGGCAGCCAGCGTGAGCGGCTGGCAGCCGGTGTGAGCTGCCAAGAGCCACAGTGAGCGGCTGTCCAGAGGCCGGCGACCAATCTGCCTCACCCGGGAAGAGCGCAATTATAATACCAACATGGGCCAGTGAAGGGACGTCCTCCACAACTAGACTGAAGAACAAAACGACAGCAGCTCGTTTGTTCCCCTCCCCCAATTCCTCAAAATCTTAAAAAAAAAAAATTTAGATTCATATTTTGAATAAGGTATTAACAGCTAATGAACTGACCAAAAGGCTGGAAACCAGAAGCAGAGCCACCTCATGCATAAACAAAGAGAGCACATGGTTAAGGGGTCTGGCTCTGAGCTATCAGGGAAACCAAGTGAGGACTGTGTGACCTTGGGCAAGTTCCTTCACCTCTCTGAGCCCATTCCCTCAACTGCCTCCTATTGTGAGGATCAAAGGAGACAATGCATGCACAGCACTTGGCACCTAGTAAGTGTTCAATAAAGGGTAGCTCCCATTAATATTATTTATAAACCAGGTGTGTCTTTCTGGCAAACAGGTGGCTGGCCTGCCAGACACACCCTTAAATAGGTGCTGATGTGTTACAAGGCCCCAGAACAAAGCTAGTGAACTGAGGTGGGGCTGGACTCTGGATCTGAGAAGCTGTCCTGTAAACAAAGGTCTCTACTAGGCAATATTAGAGGTTGGTACTGGGACAATAGTTTCCATGTAGTGAGTGCTCATTGTATGCCAGATACAATACTAAGGAGTGCGCACACATATCTCATTTTATCCTCCCAACAGCCCCATGAGGTAGGTATGACTAGTCTTCCCATCTTACCGGTAAGAAAAATGAGTCCCAGAGAAGGCAAGTCACTTACCCAAAGTCACCCAGCACAGCCAGGGTTTGAATGGAGGCAGCCTTTGGCACCTGCACTCAAAACCGCTGCACTGGGCCTCCCTGGGGGAAATCACTGATGCTTTTCTGTGTCTGCCACGCAGCTTTGCCCTGGTGAGTAACAAGCTGTACCAGCGGAAGGAGCCTCTTATCAGTTCTGTTCACACCAAGGTGAAAGGGGTAGCAGAGGTGAGAGGGGAGATTTTGGAGAATGGAATGAAGAAGGAAGTGCAGAGTATCTTCGACACCGCGGATTACACCTTCCCCTTGCAGGTGAGCACCTGTCAGCATCCTCCCAGGACTGTCTCTGGTCACTGCCACCAGGGCCTTGTCCCGACCTCCCCCGGGACCTAGAGCCTTACTCCAGAAAAACATTGGCCCTATTTTAAAAGCTCTGTGAAAATCCCAACTGAGAAAACCTAAAAATTTTAAATTGGGTCAGATCCAACAGCTCAAAAGAGACGATTCTTTGCTTTATCGAGTCCTGCAGGGGTTCTCAAAATAGCAGGATGTCCTGGTGCATTTAAAACGCGATTTAATTCACTCACACTCTGATTGACACACCACTGTTTAGAAGCACGGCCATCAAGTCAGCACAGAAGGGCAAAGAACTTTCTGCCTGGAGCAGACCTGCCCTTCTATTCAATCTATTGTTTGTGTGGCATTTTATCAATAAGAATGTCTCCAGAAAAACTCTTGGGTATGTTTTTGCACAGAGGAAGGAAATACATGACAAAAAAAATAAAGGGTGTAGGTTGAAGAGAAAGGGCACGTGACCGTTTAAAAATGAAAATTAGAACTGTCAAAAAGGAGAAATCAAAGTGAGGTTGAGAACACCAAAGAAGGGGTGGGGTGGGAGGGACCTAGGGGCACATTTGCAGCCTCTGGGTGCTGGAAAGTTTTGCAAAACCATAAAACCCTAGCTGCTATCTGTTTCTAATCGCGGGTCATTAAAATCTCCAGCTACTTCCCAAGTGGTGGGATGCCCTATTGCCCTTTAATGAAGGTCCTGGAGAATCTGAACAGTGCTGTGATGAAGCCAACACCCCCGCCTCCGCCTCCCTAGGTCTCTCCAGCTTCAACATAATGGGATTTTACTGTGTCCAAAAAATGAAAAGGCTGCGTTTGAGGCTGGAATGGAAAGTGAATAGTCAACCGGTTTCCATGCCTCTGCGCCCCCTCGACTCAGCAGGGCGGCTCATCCAGCTTTGCTATTAAACCCTCCATGGAGTACTGAGTTGCTCCTGGACCGTGATTTTCTAGACTGAAGCTTAGAAGAGTGGAAAGGTTCCCCACCACCGGCCACTTAGCAAGCTGGATTATTATGATTAAGCAGCTCTGTTCTCAAAGGCCTGGTACTTAACTTCTCTCCTTTTCTCCGCAGGGAAACTCCTTCTTTGTGATGACAAACTTTCTCAAGACAGAAGGCCAGAAGCAGGGGCTGTGTCCTGAGGTAAGGAGGGGGCTCAGAACGGTTGGATGGGTGAAAAAGAGTTCCTAGAAGAGGCACGGGTCAGAGAAAGTGGAAATTCAGATCAGGGATGTCCTCAAGCCCACAAATACTCACTGAACCTCTTTTGTGGGGAGTAGGTCTGGGCTGGGTGGAAGAAAGGTGAGAAGGTGTTGCAGTTCTCTCTCTGTAGCCACCCAATCCCCACAGTGTCCAGCCCTGGCACTAAGAGCCTGTGCAGGCGAGAGGCCTGCTTTCTCCATTGCTTGCTCCTGTGCAGCTCATGACAACATGGATCCTTAGCATTTTGGCAGCATTTCACATGTTAGCAGAGCCTCCCAACAACTTTAGGAGGGTAACAGCAATCCCAGCCCTATTTTACAGGCCAGAACACAGATCAGAGAGGTTAAGTACTTCCCCCAGGTCACCCAGCTTGCTGGAGGCAGAGCCAAGCCTTGAACCCAGATATCCTCTTTGACAGTTCCCCTTTGCACAGTCCGCTGTGAACTGTCTGCAGGGCCAGGCCTGGGAAGGTTGTCAACAGCTCAAGTGTGCCTTTTCAGCCCACTTCTTAAGAGTTTAAGCATCTAGTACCAGGTGAATGCTCCACGTCTCCCCCCCACCACCACCACCCAAGCAGTTTTTTCCAACTTGGCTTTGCCCTCGCCATGCTCTTAACCTTCCCCTACCTCTTCCTGGAAAAAACCTTCTTCCCTATCCAAATGTATTGGTCCTATTCCGTCCCTTCCCAGTCCTGCTCTCGGCCCTTTAAGATAACTGGCAATTCTGGTAAGTTTATCTAGAGTGATGTGTTAGTAGGCATTACCTACTGCTGGCACCCCGCCACCCTTTCCCTCTCAGGTGATATACCTGCACTTTACCAGAAAACATCCCAACACAGCGCTGTGGCGCCATCGAGCGGGTCTCCTGCCTATGGGGGACCAGACTTACCCGTGGGTCTTGCTCATCAGCCCACTCAGGTGACAAGGTCTTGAGAACTCAGAGTAGATATGTTCTCTCCTACTACAGACTTTGCTGTCATTTCCACCTAAACTGGGAGCCAAGCTAACATGCCCTTGGTATNGGGAAAGTCGTTGAGATTCAGAGCATTTGGCTCGGGACTCTGAAGAACCTCTTTATAGTGGGTACCCTCCTCTACATCTGGTGAGTCAGGTGCAGTGTGCCAGCCTGAGAGCTCATTGGGCCTCACTCTCCATCCTTCCCTCCTCCCCTGCCCCCCTGCACCCCTGCCCTCCACAGCCCTCCTCTTCAGCCTGTGAATGCCCAGGCTCCTTTCGCATTAACCCTCTTCCACCTTCTCAGACTCTCTTCAGCTTTCCCCTCCCCCATCTCTACCCATCCTACAAGGCCCGGCTAAACAGCCCCTCTGTGTCCCTGTTCGTGCCAGGGACCAGTGGTTTTGCGGGCTTCATAGATGAAGCACAGAATTGTAGCTTCTTAGAGCTGACAGGTCATAGGGGTTGGGGAGCCAGGCAATTATCTCCTCATTCGATGAGTCGGGAGACAGCTGCTGGGACAGTCGTTAGAATGTTCTTTCCATCAGGCAGGGGGCTGCAAACTCATTTCCTCTTTTTTCTATTGATGTGGCTCTGAAGCACTTTAATTCTTAAAATGATACGTTCATGATAATACAAAGACAAGTTTTCTGATTTAGGAGGAGGCTGGATTCCATTAAGGCTGATCTCTAATGTGTGCATTCTGGGCCACACTGACCAGTGTTATTCTGGGAGGGGGGGAACGCTGCAAGATCCAACACAAAAAACACGGCACATACCATTACATGTTGTGATGCAAGGCCGAAATGTATTGTTGAGCAAGTGTTATCTATTTGTCTATGGAATTATATTTAATAGCTCTCTCATATATGCTGATTGAGTCTCAAATCTGGGTCTCTAGCCCAGCGTCTTTCCTGATGAGCTTTTCTTTTAATGGATGTTACAGAGATATTAAAATATATTGAGAATAATATGATAAACACCCATAGACCACCATCCAACTTAAGAAATAAAATTATTACTAATCCAGTTCTAGCTCCCTTCCTCTCCGCTTAAAACCACCATCCTGAATTTGGTGCCTGTCATTCTATGTTTCCCCTTATACTTCTACAACATATGTCTATATCTATAAAAATATTTTTCCTTTTTTTTATTGAGGTGAAATTCATACAACATAAAAGTAACCATTTTAAAGTGTACAATTCAGTGGCATTTAGTGACTTTGCAATGTCGTGCCACCATCACCTCTACCTAGTTCCAAAACATTTTCATCACCCCAAAAGGAACCCCACACCCATTATGCAGTTAATTCCCATTTCCCCCTCCCCCAACCCCTGGCAGCCATCAATTGACTCTCTATCTCTATGGATTTACCTATTCTGGATCTTTCATATCAATGGAATCCTACAATATGGGACCTTTTGCGCCTGTCTTCTTTCACTTAGCGTCATGCTTTCGAGGTTCATCCACAGTACAGCAGGTCTTAGCACTTCATTCCTTTTATGGCTGAATAATATCGTATGGATGGACCACATTTTGTTTATCCATTCATCTACTGATGAACATTTGGGGTGTTTCCACCTTTTGGCTGATGTGAATAGTGCTGCTATGAATATACATGGATGTGTATTTGTCGGAGTATTGAAGGTTGTTTTGGAGTTCTTCAAACCTTATACTGTGGCATGCTTTGTGTGATCAACATTATGTTATTTTCATACTGATACCAGTAGTTCTCCTCTCATTTTCTCTGCTATAGAGCATCCCACTATGTGAATCCAACAATTTATTTACCCATTCAGTGTTCGAGGACATTTAGGTTATCTCCACTTTTTTCTCTTACAAATAATGCTGCCATAGACATTCTCGTACAGAACTCCTTGGGCACACAGATGAGGGTGTCTCTAGGGCATCCATCTAAGAGTGGAGCTGCTGGGTCATAGGGAAGGCACTACTTCAAGAGGATTTCCTATTGCCAAATAGGAGTTGTCTTTTCATGGGCCTCCCAGGAGTTCTCAACCCTGGCTGTACATTAGACTCAGCTGGGGCACTTTTAAAAGATATACAGTAATACTTTGGTTTGCGAGCATAATTTGTTCTGGAAACAAACTACTCATATTGCAAGACATCACTCATTTACCACATTAAAATGTATTAGAAATGTTTGCTCGTCTTGCAGAACACTCACAAACCACGTTACTCGCAATCCAAGGTTTTACTATATGGCACCTGGATAAGCACCCATACCTATTGAATCAGGGTTTCCAATTGGGGGCTGCCATTTTGAAAGCTCCCTGGGTGATTGTACATCACAGGAAAGATTGAGAACAGCTGGGGCCATCTCTTGCTGCCCCCTCATCATGGTTTCCAAGGTCAGCTCCTAGAGGGCAGCTATTGTATTAGACGTCCTAATATTACTCACATATTAGGGGCTGGGCAGAGGGACGAGACCAAATAAATACACGCTGAACAAATAAACATGAGCATCTAGAATACACTCTTAATTATTCAGGGCAATGGGAGACAGGGAAGCCAGATACTTGGGGATGGAGTCTACCATTTTTTTTTTAAGATTTTTATTGGGGAATTGGGGGGATGGGAACAGTGCTCGGGAATTGGGGGAAGGGGAACAGACAAGTTGTTGTCGTTTTTTTGTTCTTCAGTCTAGTTGTGGAGGACGTTGCTTCACTGGCCCAAGTTGGCACCATCATTGCGCTCTTCCCGGGCGAGGCAGATNTACCTTTTTATCCACAGCCAATTCTCTCCATCTTTAACAGAATGTCAAAAACCTTGACTGTATCACTATATTCACAATGCTCAGCCCCATGCCTCGTATAATAAGTATTTGCTGGATGGATGGATGGGTGGATGGGTGGATGGGTGGATGGGTGGATGGATGATGGATGGATGGATGGATGATGGATGGATGGATAGATGAATGATGAATGGATGGGTGGATGGATGGATGGATGGATGAATGATGGATGGATGGGTGGATGGATGGATGGATGGATGGTAGGTAGGCCTTTCTGCAGTCTAGAATTTGGGCTCCACTAACTCATGCAGAATTTTATGACACTCAGAGCCTCTAGAGAATGACTGATAGAGTCAAATGACGTGTGTGGCCCCGTGCTGAAGGGTGGGAATGTCAAGATAAGAAAATTATCATCCCAGCTTTGCTGGAATGCCAAGCCTATTGGAAAAGATACAAGATGGGGTGTGCTGGAACTGGCTTATACTGGCTCTGAGCAAATTATGCTCATCCCTTCCCAACTCCAAGTTCAGTGATGTTCCATTGGGAGCTTGAAATCAGACATGGCAAGGGGCCGGCCAAGTGACTCAGTTGGTTAAGAGCTCGCTTAAGAGTTTGAGCTCTGAGCAACAGCGGTTTGATGCCCGGCCTGAGCTGAGCTGCCGCTGTTGGCAGGATGGCTCAGCTAAACAAAAAAGAAGAAATCTGCCATGGTGTGAATATTTATACCACAATAATCAGTAGATGCTACATGTCAAGGCTTCCTACCCCACCTCGGGGAGCTGGTTGGTAAACATTTACCAGCACACCACTGCACATACCTAAACATATAATTATATCAGAGTGTGAGAAGTGTCACAGTAAACGCCATGGGGTCTCAAGAAGGGAGAAATTCTTCCTGGAGAAGCTGGAGAATTTTAGAAGCTTTCGCCCACTAGGTTGCATTTCTCTTCACTCGTCGCAATGACCCAAGCAAGAAACCAGGAGCCTCTCGTCCCACTGGCCCGCTGACCCCCTTGGTCCCTATGGTCACTGATCCCCATTTTGCCTTTCTCTTTCTCAGGCCTGCGCTCTTGAACAGTGCCGAAAACTTCACTGTGCTTATCAAGAATAATATCGACTTCCCTGGCCACAACTACACCACGTAAGTGCCCAGAATGTCTGGCCATGTTAGCTCCCTACTGCTATGTAACATATTACTCCAAAAATTAGAAGCTTAGAACAACAAACATATCATCTCCCACAGTTTCTGTGGATCGGGATTCTGGGAGTGACTCCACCGAATGAATGGCTCTGGCTCAGGGTCTCTCAAGTGGCAGTCAAGCTGTCAATGAGGCTGGGGTCACCTCCAGGCTTGACTGGGGCTGGAAGATCCTCTTTCAGCCACTCATGTGGCTGTTGGCAGGAGGGCTCAGCTCCTCACCACGTGGACCTCTCCCTAGAACTGCTTGAGTATCCTTAGGCCATGGCAGCTGGCTTCTTCCCCCAGAGCAAATGATCCAAGAAAGACAGCAAGCAAGAACATCATAACCAAAATGGAAGCAGAAGTCTCTTATAACCTAATCTTGGGAAGTGACATACCATCACTTCTGCCATAGGCTATTGGTCACACAGATCGACCCTGGTACAAGGTGGGAGGGGACTACTCAAGGGTGTGACTATCAGGAGGTGGGGATCACTGGGGGCCCTCATGGAGCCCAGTTACCACAGTGGCTCACTCCTATTAGAGATGGAACCCAGTATTCAATAGAGATGTTTGTTTGTTTGCTTTCCATTTGTACAGGAGAAACATCTCGCCAGATTTAAACATCTCTTGCACATTTCACAAGACTCAGAACCCACTGTGTCCCATTTTCCGACTAGGAGATATCTTCCGAGAAACAGGAGATAATTTTTCAGAAGTGGCAATTCAGGTGGGTGGTGCCTTTGTACCGCGAGGTGTGGGTGTTGGGTTGGGAGATGGAAGATGTCAAATGGCCAAGAGGCTGGGCCACAGGGTCTCAATAAGTTGGCTACCTTTATTGGGCATTCAGTCAATCCATGCACAGCGCCAAGGATTTTCAGTACATTACCTTGACATACAACCTTATGAATGACATACTTGGTGTATGAATTTCCTAGGGTTGCTATAACAAACTACCGCAAGCTTGGTGGCTTAAAACACACATACTTCTTATTTTCTTTTATAATTCTGGGGTCAGAAGTCTAAAAGTCAGTTTCACGGGGTCGAAATCAAGCTGTCAGCAGGGCCACGCTGGCACCAAAGGCTCTAGGGGATAACTTCCTTGCCTTTTCCACTTTTTAGAGCTGCATTCCTTGCCTTTCTTGGCTCATAGCCCCCTTCTCCCAGCTTCAAAGGCAGCATAGCATCTTGCTTCAGTGGTCACAGGGATTTCTTATTCTGTGTCAAATTTCCCTCTGCCTCCATTTATAAGAGGCAGCACTTAGGGCCCATCCAGGTAATCCAGGACAATCTTCCTATCTCAAGATCCTTAATGGAACTGCAGCTGCAAAGTTTCTTTTGCCATATAAGGTTAACATATTTGGAGGTTCCAGGGATCAGGACCTGAGATTAGGAATGTCTTTGGGGGCTATTGTTTAGACTACCACACATGGATTAGTCAGGATTCTTCTAGATACAGTTTATAGAAACCCAACTCAAATGCTGTAGGCAAACCATTAAAAAGTAATTTGAGGGGGCAAATAACAGAAACCAAACTCAACTGGCTTAAGCTAAAAAAGGAACCATATTTTCTTGTGTAAAAAGACCATGGGAACGGACGTGCTAAGAGACCCAAGGCATCTTTCTACCTCGGGAACTTTCTCTCTGTTCCCTCTGCCTGGAATACTCTTGCCCCAGGCATAGCATTAGCTGTCTCCCTCCCATGCTTCCAATATTCACTCTAATATAAGCTCAGTGAAGCTTTCCCTTAACACTATTTTTAAAACTTACAATTAATAATTTAATTAAAATGAGGTGAAATCAAAAATATATTTACTTGCTCATACTAGCCACATTTCAAGTGCCCAATAGCTATATGTGGCCAGTAGCTGCTGTTTTGTACAGCATGACTATAGAATATTTCCATCATCATAGAAAATTCTATTGAACAATGCTTGTCTAGACTTTTACTTAATAGCTAAGTGGCTCCAGCCAACAGAGAACCTCTTTTCTCAAGGTTCTGGTAAAAAGTCTCAGGGAGGGCTCTTACTGGCCTACCTTGAGCCACATCCCTATCCCAGAACCAGTCACCAGCTACAGAGGGACACATTGTCCTGATTGGGCCTGGGTCATGTGCCCACTCCTGGAGCTGGGAAAGAGGGCAGCCCCAGTCAAACCACTGAGAGTTGGAGAGGTGTTTCTCAAAAGGAAAGTCCAGGTACTCTTAGCAGAAGAAGGAAGGAGAATTAGACATTGAGTGACAAAAACATTCAATATTCACTATAGTATGTAGCGTGCTTGGCTTCGTGCCTGACAATAAATGACAGTTGTGGTTCTTTATTATTTCCCCTTTCTCCAACTCGGAGCCTGCCTGTTTCTCCTCTCTGCATCCCCAGCATGTAGCAATACTGTCTGGAAATGCTGGATTTCATGACTCAAAGACGTTTTTTCACATCTTCATAGTTCTGAAATCAGGAAGTGCCTTCATTTGATGGAGTCTCTATTTCACTGACAGTATTCTCTTCTTAGAGGAACATAAAAAAAGATTATGTGTCTTACAAGCAATGGTGGCTTAGATTAAATGAAATATGATAGTGCTCAAAATATTTGTAGAAACAAAGAAGTACAAGTACAAGTAAGGGGTTAAGAGATTCCTTAGAATTTCAGAGGAGAGAGGGGTCACCTTGAATTGAGGAGGACAGGGGTGACTGAGGAAAGATGTGAGCTGGGTATTTTTTATTTTTTTTTTAGCTGAGCCATCCTGCCACCTGTTGGCAGCTCAGCAGCAGCTCAGCTCAGCCCTGGCATCNGATGCTCCAGGAAGATGTGCCATGTTTATTCTGGGACCTTGCACATCCCTGGACATGCTGTACACTCTTAAAGGGACTCAAATGCCCATTGAGAAGGCAAGTCCTAGTTCACTTATTGCAGGCGAGAGAATACACCCTGTTCAGCTCCCCACTCAGGACTCTTTTCTTGCAAAAGAGCCGAAGAAGCTACCAGCATCCATGGTCTTTCTGTGTTCTGACACTTTAAAAAATAACAACAAAAACACGTTTGCTGTGTTGTGTGCTTGGTTAGCCTCATATCAGTTTTTGTTTCAGATGAGGTTTCACGGAAACCAAAACTGCTAAGGTTGAAAAGCATCAGCAGTCTCTTGCACGGGTTGAGTTGGTGATGGGCCCCCTAGAGAGTTTCCTCCCCAGTTTTTTCACACGCATGCTTCTGTGACCTTTTGTCCCCACAGGAATTCAGACCGGAAAGTGTATCGTGTATAAAGGAAACGAGAAGACCTGTGAGGTCTCTGCCTGGTGTCCCACTGAGGCAACGGAAAAGGCACCACGGTGAGTGGCAGGGTGGGGACACACACGGTGGCCCTCAGCAGTGAGCGGATGAGGCCTTGCCAGGTGCTGCTCCGGCTTCTCTTCTCAGGGAAGTCCCCCAGAGTCCCACAGGCTTGGGGATCTCTGTGCCAGGCACAATGGTGGTTGCCGGGAGGGCCATGCTCGTTGTTAAAATACTGAAATAACTCTGTGCTGGTTGGTAAATAGCTACTATCCTGAGCACCCCGGGGCGCCACTGTCCCCTTTCTGTAGCAGCACATCCAGGGCACCTCCAGACCCCTCCTCCAGTGCTACAGCAAGGTCCATTCTGAATTGGTCAGTGTCCATGCTGAGTGATTAAGGATGGGAGGGTGGCAGGGAGGGCGGAAAGGAAAAAGGAAGGAAGGAAGGGGAAAGGAAGGGAAAGGAAGGGAAGGGAGGAAAGGAAGGGAAGTTTACTTAAACGGTCACTGCGACATATAGGTTTGAAGATCCCTGTGATGACTCTTCTCTTTAACACACAAGGTCAGGCCCAGGAGGCAGAGCTTGATGTTACACCTCAGAAACTATAGGGACTGATGTATTTCAGCAAGAGAATAGAAAGACCTAGATTCAAATCCTGGCTCTAACACTTCCTTGCTGTGTGACCATGGGCAAGTGGGTTAACCTCTCTGAGCTTCAGTTTCCTCATCTGTAAGCTGAGGATAAGAATTGCGCCTACCTCACTGGGCTGTTGTAAGAATTAAATGAGATGATATTTGTACAGTGATTGCAACATGAGTCTAGTACCTGGCATATAGTAAGTGCTCAATAATGCACACACACACACATACACACACACACACACACACACACACACACGATTTGACCCTAGAAATTTGGTGGTTCTAGACTAGCACTGTCCAATGGAACTTGCTGCAATAATTGCAATAATGGTACCACCCAGGTTCATTTCTAGGTCAAGGGAGTTTGTCAAAGAAGGATTTGCTTAGGGACAGTAGCCTACCCTCAAGTAGACCCTAGTTCAAGGCAAGGGGCCTCTTGATTGTCTGGTTTTCAGTCCTGGCTCTGCCACCAACTCACTCACCAGATAAAGACTGCATATCTCCAATGTGCTGGTCTCCGGACTGCAATTTTACATGACCTTGGGCAAGCAACTTCCAGAACTTCAGTTTCCTCAGATATTATACTAAAATCATTCGTGTAATCATGCATTCATTCAATACATCCACTACCATGTAGTAGGTGTCAGATATTTATTTCATGTGTAACTACACACAAGAGGCTGTGCTACATTGTATGTGAAATAAAAAAACCCAGATATGGAGCAGGTGCCAAGGCTCTTGCAATCTAATAGAAGAGATAAGATAGATGCACAGAGAGCTGTAATTCAAGATAGAAAACTATACTCGTGTCATGAGAGAGAAATAAAGGGCTTTGATCCTTCAAATTTCAGGGGCCTATAGTCCTCTGGTTCTTACAGTGCTGTCTAGGAAGCATGAGATTTAGAACACTCTAAAGGCAAATAGTCTGGCACATGGCAGGGATTTGTCATAAATAAGATTTTCCTTTACGCAAATGACAGATATATAACTTAAACTGGCTTCAGAAACAAAGGGATGTTATTTTTTGGCTTGTGTTTTTGACTCCTGTAAATGAGGAGTCCAGAAATACAGCTTCAGGTAAGGCTTGATCCAGGCTTCAAATGATGTCATGAAGATTCTCTCTCTCTTGCTCCCACCAGCCCCAGTTATTCTTCCTTCCATTTTGGCTTTCCTCAGACTGTGGTCCGGTGAACTCCAGGTTTACACTGTCCTTACTACTAACAGTCCAAAAGAAAATGAATTTTTCTTTCCCAATAGTTCCTGCAAAAGCCCTGGGATGTTCTTATTGGCCTAAGTCATGTGACAATCTGTGAACCAATCACTGTGGCTAAGGGGATTGGATTACACTGTTTGGCCAGCTCTGGGTCACTTGCCCACACCAGGAGCTGTAGGGATGAGCAGGAGATGGACTCATCCCCACCCAAGCCTCTGGTCTGAGAGAAGAGACCTGGTTTCACCAAAGGGAGAAAAGTGAGGGGCTACTGACAGAAGGGAAATGGATGCTGAACAGGCAAAAATTACACTGTTCTCTATAGTTATGTCCCGAATAGAGCCGAAATTGGGCTCTGGAAGTCCTGGAATGAAAAGTAGGTCATTCTTGGCACCCCCTTCCAAATTCCCTCCACCTTTCCCTGGTGTTACTCCCAATATATTCTGCCACCTATTCAAGCAACAGGGTACCAGCTATACCTTTTTATCCACAGCCAATTCTCTCCATCTTTAACAGAATGTCAAAAACCTTGACTGTATCACTATATTCACAATGCTCAGCCCCATGCCTCGTATAATAAGTATTTGCTGGATGGATGGATGGGTGGATGGGT